AGATGTCGAGGGATTGAGGCTTATACTGTATTGCAATGCACATCGGATTGGAACCAGACTCAACGCAGAACCGCGCACATTCTGTCTGGTGTTCACAACTTCCGCCTTTAACATCCCTTTATGAGGATTTTTATTTGTTTGGGACATTTGAAATCAATGAGGCTAGAGAATGCACTACAATCCTTAGTTTTCCTTCGTAATTTTCTATGGACTTCAGATGCATGCATTTTGATCGTTCTTGTTTCTGTTATGGACGCTTTTTCCTCTGCAAAAGACTCTAGCCTAAGTCATTTCTCGTGGTCCAGTCACGCAACCGTTTTTGAAATATTTTCCACTTTCGAATAAATCAAGTAAGCCTATCACAAGACAGGACTGATGTCAGAATGCGATAACCGCATTTTAAAGTCAATAGTGGCATGGTTTAACGTACTTTCCGGGATCAGTAGTCTCTTGTATCCTGTAGGTGTGAACAAGAGTACAATATGCAATTTCGAGCAGAAAAATTACTGAGCTATATAGCTTTCATATAAGAAAAGCTTGCCGGAATTGATTAATTCACGGATAGGAAGACTCGATAACCGTGTGTGGCGCGTCATGCATAAATTAGCTATCGGAAGCAAGAAGAACAGATCATGACCTACAATGGAAGTTTACTAGACATTCGATGACCAAAAATCGCCAATTGTTGAAAGTACTCAGGTGGAACGCACAAAGGGTGAATATTAGCAGCTCCAGTAACACAGTTAACCTTTGACCTCTCCACTGGGGTGAGTCATTTTGATGCAAACGTTTTGACGGTACACTGGCTAATGTCGAAACGATTAGGTATCTCCGACACTATATTTTATACTCGCCCTATGTACGCGTAGACCTCGGCTCAAAAAGCGGCCAGAAGAGCCCACCGATAGTATTGCGGGCCACACTTTATACTCGCCCTATGTACGCGTAGACCTCGGCTCAAAAAGCGGCCAGAAGAGCCCACCGAGAGTATTGTCGAGCCACACTGCAGGCCGCAGCGCATAAGGTCACGCGTAGCAATAACCCATTAAAGAATATCGCTCACGTCCAAACGTTTCGCGAAACCAAGCTGCTGATGAGATGTTTACAACCCAAGCTAATCATTATGCATTCACACACTGGGACAGTGAGTTTCAAATTTTTTGAGAAAACGCCATTTCAGACTAACAAAGAGCAGTTTCCTTTCATAAAAAAGGTACCGTGAACCGCCACTGCGTCACAAACAACCGCTCAAACCCCAAAGGCGATTAAGTGCCATGATAAAATAAATATCGATGACTGAATTCGTTCTGTTCTGCCAATCGTTAAAACAGATTTTGTGTGCACCGTATGCGGATGGATGCCGTATCTGACGAATGGTTTCTGTCAAACAGTCCCGTTTTGATCGAAGCCAGGTCTTCCAGTTGTTTCGTGGAATATATTGCATCCATTTGATATCTCTGCATACTCTATTTAGCGATAAAAAATATTGACTAGAAACAGCGTGTCGCTGTTTATGGCTTTGATAATGGAACCGGAGATGTTTCGGCTGTTGGATGGTGGGTGGACGGAACCAGAGACTGCCCCACAAGAGCTAGGTTTCTCTGGCAACTATCATAGCCAATCTATGTAAATGGTGAACGAATTCTTGACCTAAAAGAAACTACTCACAAGGTTGCTGATAACCCTTGGACAGCCCACGACCGGTTTCGCCCTTCTTGGAGCACATCAGGTAGGCGCAGTCCCCGATGCTTGATCTATCTATTCGCATAAACGAGGGCATATATTCAGATTAGCTGACACGGTGCCGTTTGTTTGGCCTGAAGAGTCTTGTTGTTGTTTGCTTTCCTCACACGAATTAAAATGCTGTCAATGAGTATCAAACATATCTCTTCGGCTATCGTAACACACCAAAGACATACGAGTACTGGGTTGGAGTGGTCAAATGAAACAGTTGAACTACAATGATTTCGTAGTGTGAGGAGATTTGGTATTTTGTGTGTGGAGATTTCGTCCTGTAAGTGAAGCCAATCTATGCTGAAAGGCCGAGAAGCACTGTACAGCTGTTTCATCCTCATTGAGAATCATCAGCAGTGAGAAGTCGAGGAGCTCGAGGAGCCAGTCAACACGTGTGCCCGCGTGATTTGGATTCCGTGATTGAAGGATGAGTGGCGCTATATCCTGTCTAAGTGCGAGTTAATCACACTGCCGATCAGCCACTCATGGCCGAACGGTTACGTGTTCAGACTACTAGCCAGGAGGTCTCGGGTTTGAGACTCTTCGGAGTTTTGTGACATGCGCACTGCTGATGATTCTCAATAAGGATGAAACAGCTGTACGGTGCTTCTCGGCTTTTCAGCATGGATTGACTTCACTTACAGGACGAAATCTTCACAAAATTGCAAAGATCCTAACACTACCAACAGAGTACGATGAATTGGTCTCTCAATTCGAAGCGACTACTCAACTTCAAACCTGTCACTTGTCTACCTCTATGAATTTGCATGCACCAATTGGAGACAACTAACAGAACCGCGTGTGCCCTATTTGGCGTTTTCGTGTAGTGTAGTCTAAAACGCCACTGAGTACATTCATTGTGGATTACGATCAAATCACGCAGCCATTTCTACCCATAAATGATACATATTTGCCTTGGGGGCTTTCATATAAAAGGAGAAGTGCAGATGATGGACACCTGACCAGGTTTGAGTTTCTGCTTCATTATTTTGACAATGTTCCACTCGGCTTTGTTCTGGCGCACTCTTGCTCCAACAGTCAATAAAAATCTCTCGGACCATCTGTGTTTGAGCAATCTCGAGTTGGACGTCCAAAACTCGGTTAAAATGTGCTCAGCTCTAGGATTGTAGAATAACACTTAAAGGACGGGAAAATTTGTTTCATTACTATTCGAACGGAATAAATTAATGAATTTATTTTGAATTTATACTCGATACAAACCTTGTGGTGCAGGCGTGGCTCGATCTAAATGTAACGAGAAGCACTCGATATTTCAAACGGCACATGAAAATTATTCAGTAATTTCTATACTTTAAAATATTTAAGTCGTACTCGAGTTTTTTTGTAATCTACTACTCATAAGGTTGCTGAAAATCCGCGGACTGCGCCTGCCTGATGAGCCCCAAAAAAGGCGAAACTGGTCTTGGGCTGTCGACATATTTTCAGCAACCTTATGAGTAGTAGATTACAAAAAAACTCGAGTACGACTTAAATATTTTAAAGTATAGAAATTACTGAATAATTTTCATGTGCCGTTTGAAATATCGAGTGCTTCTCGTTACATTTAGATCGAGCCACGCCTGCACCACAAGGTTTGTATCGAGTATAAATTCAAAATAAATTCATTAATTTATTCCGTTCGAATAGTAATGAAACNNNTCACAAGGTAGCTGACAACTCTTCGACAGTCCACGACCGGTTTCGTCCTTCTTGGGGGTCATCAGGTAGGCGCAGTCCCCGAGTTTTCATCAACCTTATGTTCCACTTGAACCCAAATTGCACTGTTTTTGAGAACTACTCTCATTTGCAAATCAATTTGGTTTTCACGAGAGACTCAACTGAATCTCTTGTTTATGATTTGATTAGTTTCCTTCATGAAAAGATACTGCGATATCTCGAATATCATGCCAACTAAAACATGAAGCGGCCTGTGTGCGGCACATTCAATTGTAGAACATCATAAACGAGAGATTCAGTTAAGTCTCTCGTGAAAACCAAATTGATTTGGAAATGAGTGTATTTCTATAAAAGTGATAATGCTTAATCTGGGAAAATTCACACTCAACCTGAACTGGTTGATGCAACAAAACTGTCAACGTTGTGGTAAACCTAAAAGCAGTCTTGCCACAAAACGCATACTTTGCTATCAGCAATTACGTGAAGTCACGGGTACAATCTTTTCGGTAAACGCTGTACGAATCCACGATCCTTTTCCGAAATGATGGCAGTTAGAGCTGAACCCCGTCATCTACGGGGTGTTCGCTAGTAATGATCTTGGCGCCGGAAATACTATCAGGCTGTTGTCGCAATATCTCACCAAAATCAATTGAAAAAACAACAGGTAATGCCTTTAACGGACGCCAAACAACCTTACACGCCCGCAAGTATCTAAAGACATAATATATATTCACAAGACTCTGTTCCGTGACTTTTACACATGTATACATACACGGTATTTTTTACTGGAGACTTAACTATTTACTTTGGTTACCTCAGGGTGTTGAAGATCCTGTTGAACTCCACTAGTCTTGCCATTCACGGGGGATAAGCTTACCGGAAGATGAAAGTCATAAAGTTTGAATATGTGAGCACGACTTTTCAAAAGGACCTACCGTTGGGGATATATACCCGGATGGGCACTGAAATGTTAAAACAAAGTGAATGAATAATAGTCAACGGACATCAGTAGCACTGTTCGAGATTCTTCCAAAGCATATTTGGTAAAAGCGTAGCCAGTGATTACTTTGAGAATATTCTAATAGAATTAGATGCAAATAAAGTCTGGAAGATTGATCGCCACGTGGAACAGTTTGTGTTTGAATGGGTTATGTAAAAAAATCAATGGTAATGCACCGAGGTATAAAACGTTCCGGCCAAAGCGATCGTCCAATACACGTAAAAGTGTGCCTTGCGGACGTTATGTCGATCGACACACAGCATGCACGCGTTAGCCGGATGACTGTCCGTCCATGTTACTTGTCCTTTCGGGACTAATCAACAATGTGGCCAACTGAAAGCGTAATGCGTCAAATCGCACTAGTTCGCTCACCCGTTTGTCAAATCAACTAACACTTTTGTAGGTTCCTTGGAATGGTAGCTGTCAGCCTCTTTTTTCATTCCTTCGATTTCCCCACTCTTTCAGAAGTCAACAAGCGCTTGCAGAAACCTCGAGTATTGATTCAGATCTTGAAATCAAGGGTACACGTAACTTCTTACGTCCGAAGTCAGTTTCTTTTTTCATTACTGCGATTTCTCCACTCTTTCAGAAGCCAACAAGCGCTTGAAGAAACCTCGAGTATTGATTCAGACCTTGAAATCAAGGGTACACATAACTTCTTACTGCCGATGTCCAAAAATTCCGTTCTATCTTCTCGCACTAGTGAGTTTCATTCAAACCAGAAGAACTATCGATCGATCTTACATTTACAAACCTTGATTAATGTAACAAAGTTTTATTTCATGGCAGCGCTTCGTGTGCTGATCACGGAATCTCTGTATGTGCCATTGATGAATCGTTCGTCCTGTAAGTGAAGCCAATCTGTGTTTTACAGCCGTACAGCTGTCTAGGTCACGAGTGGGCCGAACGGTCAAGTCGCGGGAGGAGGTCGCGGGTTCGAGACTCTCCGGAGTTTCGTGAAATGCTCACTGCTGATGATTCCCAATAAGGATAAAACAGCTGTATAGTGCTTCTCGGCTTTCCAGCTCAGACTGGCTTTACTCACACTCTGGCTTCAGACCCTCAGTTGATGTATAGTAGACAACTATAATATGGCCTGATCAGCTAACTTGCGGTGCACCAACTGAGAAAATAACGTTGTTCCGATTTCGAGAGGTCTCGTTAAACTGTTCGTGGAAGTGCTTGTCTACCAAGATCTTGAACGGTTTCAAGCCTATGTCGAAATGACTGAATTGCACCACACAGGACAAGGGAAAATAACCAAATAAGATAACCGACCAATAGCAGAACGAAATAATAAAGAGGCTGACCTCCGACAACAATTTCCACGGGAAGATATTTGTGTCAGCTATAAAAATAATCGTTCAGATGTAGCACCCTTTTGGTGTCCAGCTTCCATGCCACACGAAGGAAGCACGAGGACTGAGATATTGCCAGGTTGCCGAAGCCTAGACAGGGGAAGTCGAGAGGCAGAGGTCGGGTTCGAACCACGGACCTTCCGGTTAGTTAGGTCCATCTCTCCCCCGTGTCAGCTAAGAATACAGGATTGGAAGCTAAGCGCACGCAGCCATTAGTTGAAAGCGTGCGCATTTATACATGAAAGGGGTCCTTGAAAGTATATCGGAGAGTAACCAAGTTGTGGGCTTGGAATGCTTCGCTCATCGTCCTATAGTCGTTTGATTAAAAGTCTGTTACTTTGATTCCTGTCCGTTTCGCAAATCGCTGAGACGGGTTTTTTCAAAGATTACAAATATGAAAGCTAGTTACACTGCTCAAAGTCAATTAAGTTGAGCGTTCACCCATTGGCGAGTTCAAAAATCTCTAAGTTTCGTGAGATGGGCACTGCTGGTGATTCCAAATAGGGATGACGGGGGTTTTCCGCAAAGATTGGCAAGAAAACGTCTCAGCTAAAGATCAAGTATTGATTCAAAACACTCAGTAGGATACAGTACAAGTCAATAGCGATGGAAACTATTGTACATGAGAATATTGAGGAAATACCACTTCATTGTCATTTGTCTATTTCCTCAAAATTACATAGAGTTAGAGTTTGTTTTTCAACCAACTTGAGTTCGTATGCACATCAACTTTTTTCTGGCTTACTGTGAATGTCAATCCCGTAGGCTTTAATCGAAGAACATAACAAATAGCGTGGTTATGACCAATGTCATCAATGAATATTCCAGACTGATCAGTAAGAAATGAACGCTGCCATGTAAGTAGTATTTGCGAAAAATGTATACTACTGGTGGGGCATGTGAGTAGTAGGTTTCTCGTAAATCCGCTTGGCGTTTCTTGAAAAGTAAGATGTGTCATGGAATTTGTTGCATCGCATTTGCTTGCATTTGAGTAACAGTCAATGAATACCCATGAAAGTTCAGGAAAACGAGTTCAAGGAAAAGATGGATACTCAGTTATTGTTAACAAGATGTATATGAGAGTTTTACTTTCCTGCCCAATAGTCTGTAACTGTTCACTTGGCGTTTTCCAATTAATAACTCCACAGTGATGGCCTTCTTCCTTTCATTGGTAGATACTTAGCAAGTAGTCTGATAGCATTTTTGGTCTTGTATTACTGCACAAGAACCTTCAATTCGCGGTATCTTCATCAAAAACACCCATAACAATTGCTCAATGCTATCGATCTGATTGAATTGCTTACATCACGACTCAGCCGACAGCAATAGTTCACAGTTAGGCATATTTGACTGCAGTCTACAATGAAGCCGAAGGCAATCTGTAGAGGAATATAAAATATTGAATCACCTAGCCATACTGATGAGAACTCACCCCTAAAATCAATGGCTGAAACTGAGAAAAAGATCATATAATTTAGATGTCTTGTTTTGTTTGTAAACTTCTTATTTGCTGCGTGGAAAAGAAGAGGGCTGAAAACTGAATTATCCTTTTTTTATCACGAAAAAAAATCAACGTCTACATGATGATCACTGATCCTGTTCGAGTTTGAATGTTGAATATTGGTTACGGACTGTTTGCTTCAGTAACTTCTGTTTCTATTCTGAGAAAAAGGCAGTGACGAAAAACTCAGATCGTAAGGTAGACTCAAGACAAAATTTTTGAACCAATCAGGAAAAATCCTAGTGCTACCAACGCACGCTGACTAACTGGGACTCCGATCCCATTTAAACATTTATCATCCACACAAGTAGCGTGGCATTCTATGCTTGGCCGACCTGCTCAATCCAATGAGAATTAGTTGATCCGCTGACAGGATGAAACGTCCGGAATTAGACCGCTTAGAGTTTCTTCGAATGGGAAGAACTGGTATATAGGATGGATCTCAATTGAGCGTGCACTTCTGAGAACGCATTAAACCTGCAGGCCAGCTAACTGACTTGTACTGCGCTACCCTACCCAAGTTATTCACCATTTTCTCTGATATTTCACGCTATCTCATGAACTGTGGCGCTAAATTCCACGCACTAACGCGAATCACACTGCGGCCAAGATATAGCCATGTAATTTTCCTCTGATAGGCTTGTGATTGGCTCCATCCCGGGTAGTTGTCGCGCCAATCACCTTTAGTCATGTTTGACGGAAAATCGAACCTGTCAAATGCCTAGAATGGTACCAAACTGACAGGTTCAATACAGACGTCCCAGTAGTCTAAAACTAGAGTGAAGACACCCACAATTCGATGAAAACTAAACCAATTGGGAGCTGGGAATCATTTCCAGTCTTCGCAGACTAAATGCTGAACTTGATTTTACGCAAAAGCCGTCGCATTCAAATTATCTGTGCCGATTTTTCCGTCTGCAAAACTTTTGGAGACCACGATTTATGATTTTATGTTCTCTACAGTTTATCTTTAAAAGCCATGGTTCGTAGAAGATCGGATGAATGATTTCGGTGATGAAAACCACCGCCAGTAAAGCTGCCTCTTCTTAGCTATATTGATAGCGAGTTTGCAAGTAGCCTTGTTAGGAAGTAATGTATCTAGACCAGCATTGGATGGAAGCTCAATGCAAAGTCCAAACCGATTAAAAATGAGGAATTATTTAAAAAAAAGGGTCGTTCGATGCGTTCAAAAACATGTAAAGCATAACGAGGTGTGCAGTTTTTTAATGTCTGTCACTTATTATGTAATGAAGCTTTACACCGAAACCGACCACCTTCTTGGAAGAAACACTGTTTGTTTGTTTTTCTAGACAGGTGAAAATGCACTGGTGGTTGATCAGATGGCAGTTGATCTGTTCGCCAAGCTTGTCAATTGGCTTACAAACGTTTCGCTCCCAGTCGAGGAGACATCGTCAGTGCGCAGTTAACTGGGTTGACAATACATTCTGGATGATCGCAAGCCTTTATGTTACATCGATATTTAGTGTATGATCAATCCATCTGCCTTAGAGTTATGGTCATCTAGTATTCCTTCTGATATATGTATTGCTCTGAACAAAACTTCACTCTATACCATTGCATCCGATTAGAAAAGTACTAAACATGCATGGCGCTAAACGATTTTTACGAAAGTGGGGCCAAATCTATCCACACTTTTGTATCAAACAGCCAAAAACTCTTCTGGGAAACGTACTTGGAGTTTCAGTTTCACTCTCTGAGTCACCAACTTCACTTTTGATTTCCTCTTTGATATCATCTACACAAGCAAAACGGTAAAAGGAGCCATCAATAAGAACTTCGGAAAAGTTTGTGTGCATGGTATATTTAATTGAATTTTTCACGTTTTCCCCTGAATGGTTCTTAAACAGCTACCATAAACTTGATAATGCAAAGGGAATGACAGACTTGAGCGTTATGCTTTTACCGGAGGTGAACTTGATTTTCAAGTGCACTTATCTAAACCACGGAGCTTCGTTTTGAGGGCTTTTTTGATAAGACTGAGTTAGTCAGAAGGGGCTACTCCAAGTGACGTTCCAGATAGATGTGGTCTCTAAAGGACTTCGCCGCTGAAAAGACTTTACTATGTATATATGGCAATACGAAGCTCAGGAACACACATGGTTGGGCGAAAAGAGCCCTTCGAGGAAGTGGGTCGATTGGCATACGCAGCACGTGGCCAAGCCAACGCAACCTGTGCAGTGTGATCAATTCATCTATCGAGGGTGAGTTATTTCTCCCGAATACCATTCGACGTACTTCAGAATTGCTGATCCGGTGTTCCCACCTAGTAAGCACAAGGAAACGAGCAGTGGAATGAACTCTAACCACCTACCTCTCGATTTTTGGAGATGCTTTCCCTCCATCAGGTCTATCCACCAGAATGTCACAGGTGATACCGCACATCTAATGCTGTCTACTGGAATAGTATATGATAAGTGTCAGTGACATCATTAACCCACTTGTGTGAAGCTCCCTGTGACTATCGTCCAGATGCTCAAAGGCAATCAGTTCTAATTGTAATAGGTAGGGCGGTTGTGTCTGTTCCCTCTGTTGCGTATCCATCAGGTCTATCCACCAGAATGTCACAGGTGATACCGCACATCTAATGCTGTCTACTGGAATAGTATATGATAAGTGTCAGTGACATCATTAACCCACTTGTGTGAAGCTTCCTGTGACTATCGTCCAGATGCTCAAAGGCAATCAGTTCTAATTGTAATAGGTAGGGCGGTTGTGTCTGTTCCCTCCTGTTGCGTACTCTTGGGCCTAGTATTTCACAATCTGTTGAATCCATCAGTTTTGATAGTACACGCTGGGACGTCCGGTGTATTCGCTAGTAAAATGGGCAGGGTTGCGTGGAGTCAGATGTAAAGTTCCTGTGAGGAAGCTTGACGAAGAGCGAGCTTGCTTGGTAGCTCACCTGTTAGAGCACCCTCCGGTGATCTCACCTCCAGGGGAGTGAAAGGTGTACCCTTAACTTGTGTTTCAAGATTTTTCCAACTCCTGCTTGTTTGTATCAATCAACATATATTGCTCTCTAGACATCCTTCTTGACTGCTCCCATGAAGTTCTCGCCCGCAAAGTTCTCCCGGTCGATAAGTAGCCTGAGAAACTTTCCATACATAGAAGTACTTGTCTGTTCTCTAATGGAAAACAGGAAAATGATCGAAGAGTTTGAAGTACAAACAACGTCACCGAGCACGACGATGTAGGCATTCTCATTCCGACTGATGTAGACCAAACTTAGTCAATATGTCGAAGGTGTCCTAAGATAAATAAACTTAGAAAATCCATTCCGAAGTAAAAAGTAGCTACATGGAGCGCCTGTGTGCGATGCGTCCGCTTCGTGATAAGTACGCGTTCGCCACACAAGATGGTTTATTCCAGCTGAACATTTGCATTTCACAAAATGTACCTTGCCGGAATGTTTGCTTTATTTCTACAGATTTTTTCTAAAAGTTCCATTGCTTCTCACCATTTTGAGTGGACGGCGCTGCCGTTGATCTCACAACACTCTCCAACATTGTGTCAGAAAACTCCAAAACTGATTGCCCTTTTAGAATAAATAAAACAGCGAAGGGGAATACTACACAAGGGTATGAAAACTCATCAGACACCTGACTTACCGTCGCTATAGGATCCACCTGAGAAAGGATTCGCAGGGGTAAGAAAGAAAGTACTTTTAAGTTGTTTATCATACCGGTTGGTTGAAGGTACTGAAGTCACCAGAAAAACGTAAGAACATCAGGGATAAACTATCATATGATCATGATCCGGCACAGTTGCTCAATATGTGGAATTGCACTCTATCCACCGAACAAACGAACGCCTAGAAAGTAACTTACTTTGAGACAACAGGAGCTTCGTGTCTAACATTTTCCTCGTTATATTTTCTGTTCATTTTGTTATTGCTTATGGGAATCATCGTATGTCAATGGCTTCATTGGGCTGAGTGATAGTCTGACAGGACGAACAGTTTGACCAATAGGAAATCAGGCTCCTAAATAATCAATAAGATGGTCAGTCGAGATTTCCAATTGGTCAGCTCTGGAACGCACCCACGCAAAGATGCAACCCAACCAATGATGCAGTGCCATACGACCACACGCTATAAATTATCTATCAAATCGATTGATGACGAACCCAGATTTTAAATTAAAATTTTCTACTGTAATTAAAGGCTAATTGTTCGTGCTTTGGTTTCTTTCAGTTGTTTCATCGTTCAGAATTTTCTATAATATGCGCAACACGAGTCAGTAAAATTTGCCTAACCCGTAACCTTCAGTTAGTGTTTGAACACTGTATCACCCTGCCTTGAGTGCCCGGCTGTCAGTGAGTTTAACTGAAAGAGCGCACTATATCAAACTCTGCAGAAATACACTCCTGAAATTTTACAACAAAGATGCGACAGTAACACAGTGCTTCTTGACAGTTTAGCTTCGGACAACTTGACTGTTAGGAGGAAATTTGAAAGTACATTTGCAGAAAATAAGGTCATATTACTTTCAGTAACAATATAGGAGTTCTGCAATCAACACCCCTTTGTCTGAATGTGAACTAATTCTTTCAGCTCTGAGCGAAAACCTTAACGAAACCAACGGAAAACTGTGAATCCTTGAACCATCTGTGTTTCGGTGACGTGTATAATTAGGGTCCCAGTTAATGCAGAATTAGAGTGTTTTGATTTAAATCCTGCGGAAGTTCTACATGCCATCTAAACAATACGGTTTATCTACTTCTGGTAGAGGTCAAACCTCGCACACACAGGTGGGTGTTCCGTAAAATGTACCCCATTTTTCAGTTGGGGAATTCTAGTTTCACAAAGGACTTTTAATACAACAAATCTGACGGATGCTCTTCAGCCAACTCCAAACGAAAATGGCGCGCAACAAGCGTGAGCATGACATTAGGAAGTCTGATGCCGCTGTTTAAGTAGAGCTTGAAGGCTGGTAGCCCATGCAACTCGCAACTGTTCAGTTAGCTTGTCAGTAGGGCTTATCTAGTAACACCGACCGTTTGCCGTTAGCACGAAAGAGATGCGTCACTTTGCGGAGATTGCCGTGCAACATACTAATTAGGACATGAGCTATCCCTGCAACAGTAAACTCGTGACCTAGCTTGGAAATTCACCCAACAAGGCAACTAATCTCTAGGTTTTTCTTGAGCAGGGTCGAGCTATGAGAGGCACCATTCCGGGTACAAAGTGAATTATACAAATAGAAGAATTTCCAGGTCATATATGTTGTAAAGCCTAGAAGGACAACATGACTCCTTCGGCAAAGAAAGACCTGTGATAAGTACTCATCTTGATAGTATTTTTCTTACAACCATTCGGTTTGTTCACAAAATCACTGTGATTCTCATGATAAACATATTCATTTGTGCCATGGAGAACACAAGTGAACCTACTTTCATCCTCGCTTTTTATGTCTTCTTCTTTAATCGATCCTTCTGGAAACGATGTGAATAAAAGCGTTATTAATAATGTAAGCCACACCTCATAATAAAGGCAACGTTCAGTCTGGACAGGATCTGTGCTGTCCGTCAGCGATATCATTTTGGAAGGTCAGGTACCTTAAGATCGGTGCTCCGTTACGAGAGACCACTATGTAATGCACCAGGGTAAAGCTGACTGGAGCTCAAAGATGGGTCTCATAGTACTATCCAGAATGCATAGTTTCGGACGGTTGGATGTCAACGGGAACAAGTTGTTAATAGTACAGAAAATTTATCTAAAATATGTGGAACATATGCACTCAACAGAAGACACGTATTGTAGTTCACAGTACGTTAGAAGAACACGTAAGTACTGACACGGGGGTACTGTGTACACGCGGCCAACTTGGTCCGCTTTCGTAGCGGGTAAGCCAACAGCTGAGTCACATATCCAGTCGACCCACAACGCTCACGCGAGCAAATCAATGGGACACGCGCCCAATCAGCCACTCCAGTCACACGCCAGATCGATGGTGGAACGACAGACGGACACACACACGCCCAACCTCTGACACACCGAAGCAGCCACTACAATATGGGTACATGTGAACAAGAGCGCTAAATCCACTGTTCGGCCTTTACAAAGCTGCATTTTAGGGGCATTTTATTCTGGTTAACAAGCAGAGTAAATCGACCGAAATTCCAACTCGTGTCCAATGCAAAGTCAGTAAAGTAGTGTACGAAACAGATACTCGGGACCTTTTGTTACAATGCAAGGTTCATCAACGGATGAGACCAGTGTAACCAGTTTGCGGTTTCTTCATTTTGTGCAAACCTCAGCAAAGATGAATGCTGGACTAAGAAAAAAAAGCCCAAAAGTCAGCTACGTTTCAGCATCAAATGCTTCCCAACTGACTCTCAACAAGTGAGTCATTTTCAAGGTGAAATGGTTTTAAATCCCGTTACGCAGTGGAAGACAACCAGTTTTTTTTTAAATATACCAACTTTGGTCGGCTGGGAAGCTCAAGGAGGGTCCATAATGGAGAGTCGCCCAAAACAAATATAAATGCCTGAGGTCCCATAATGCGCTAACTACTTATTGTTACTGATCAACTGTTGATAGGAACACGCTTTTGTAGATTTTGCTTTACACCAAACAACAAGAGTCGGTCGTTAACAAGTGAATCAAAAAAGGACCACAAAATTCCTTCAGCCAAAGGATGACAGGCACACTTAATCCGGTCTGGGCAGGCTGGGGCAAAAATAAGTAGGTCAGACACGCTTCTGCGATAACTGTGGTGCAAGGTAACGCTAATTTTGTTTTCGTTTATATTACCAAGTACCGGGATAAAAAGCAGTTGTTCACTATTATATGGTGATAATCACTAGTTGACAAAACGGTACGCTAGATCATCCCATGTCATAAGTCTTCGTCGTTAAATTATCTATCATTTTGGATGCCGAGCAATCTTTGGGTCGACAGATACACGCGGCCAACTTGGTCCGCTTTCGTAGCGGGTAAGCCAACAGCTGAGTCACATATCCAGTCGACCCACAACGCTCACGCGAGCAAATCAATGGGACACGCGCCCAATCAGCCACTCCAGTCACACGCCAGATCGATGGTGGAACGACAGACGGACACACACACGCCCAACCTCTGACACACCGAAGCAGCCACTACAATATGGGTACATGTGAACAAGAGCGCTGAATCCACTGTTCGGCCTTTACAAAGCTGCATTTTAGGGGCATTTTATTCTGGTTAACAAGCAGAGTAAATCGACCGAAATTCCAACTCGTGTCCAATGCAAAGTCAGTAAAGTAGTGTACGAAACAGATACTCGGGACCTTTTGTTACAATGCAAGGTTCATCAACGGATGAGACCAGTGTAACCAGTTTGCGGTTTCTTCATTTTGTGCAAACCTCAGCAAAGATGAATGCTGGACTAAGAAAAAAAAGCCCAAAAGTCAGCTACGTTTCAGCATCAAATGCTTCCCAACTGACTCTCAACAAGTGAGTCATTTTCAAGGTGAAATGGTTTTAAATCCCGTTACGCAGTGGAAGACAACCAGTTTTTTTTTAAATATACCAACTTTGGTCGGCTGGGAAGCTCAAGGAGGGTCCATAATGGAGAGTCGCCCAAAACAAATATAAATGCCTGAGGTCCCATAATGCGCTAACTACTTATTGTTACTGATCAACTGTTGACAGGAACACGCTTTTGTAGATTTTGCTTTACACCAAACAACAAGAGTCGGTCGTTAACAAGTGAATCAAAAAAGGACCACAAAATTCCTTCAGCCAAAGGATGACAGGCACACTTAATCCGGTCTGGGCAGGCTGGGGCAAAAATAAATAATTCAGACACGCTTCTGCGATAACTGTGGTGCAAGGTAACGCTAATTTTGTTTTCGTTTATATTACCAAGTACCGGGATAAAAAGCAGTTGTTCACTATTATATGGTGATAATCACTAGTTGACAAAACGGTACGCTAGATCATCCCATGTCATAAGTCTTCGTCGTTAAATTATCTATCATTTTGGATGCCGAGCAATCTTTGGGTCGACAGAAGATCAGATGTTGAGTGCGAATCTCACAAGGGTTGAATAACTGGTTGGGAGATAGGAGGGGATGATACAAACTATGGACAGAAGGTCACTAAGATGGGAAGTAATACGCCAACTCAATCCATTGACACATGTTTAGACAGCTAAGACGAGGTCACTGACGAACGGTCACCTTGACAAGGTCGTTGAAACGTTGTAGTACAAGTTGATGCCAAAGGTGCCGCAAAGAGTTGCGGACCTCTCAGTCGCTCCGCTGTTAACCAAGCATAAGACTTGACGATGATCATCGGTGTTTTCTTGCTTTTCTGCTTATTTTTGTTTTCCCGTTCTAAAAGCACATTCTTCACCGACTACCCGAACGAGTTTCAGCATTTATGTGGAAGCGCGTTGATAAACGATCAATTTAGTCGCTTATCTATATTCTGGCGATATGACAGCGAGTGAATTTGTCTTCTTAGCGACTGGAAATTCTCCAGATCTAAAATACTTGAGACGGATCGAGGAAGCTTGGACGCCCAACGAATTCCATATGTCATCTTCTGTCGATGGACCTAAGGCTGCTTGAGGGTGATATATTCAATTTTGATGAGTCGACTGATTTGGGTTGCAGTTCAGGTGAATCAGTGGAAACACACAAGTCACACGAAGTCGACTTTCATTCGTCTGATTTTAGGGGTCAAATCGGTTCCAGAATCATGGGAGAATGCCATGCGAACATGCTTAAAGTTCTTGTCATCTCGTCCTAGAACGAAATATCGATATTAAGGTAACCTCAAATTGATGTTTACTTATTGAAATATGAGGCGGATCATATGACAACAACCAAGAAGCTCTTAGAGCTTTTCAGTGTTCAAACAGATCATCTCACAAGCAGCAAAATGAAGGTTTCGGTAACAATTCACGTGATTTTCAGAGTTAATCTGTCATGAATGCAGCCCGGCTATACTGGTGATACACTGAATGTATACATGAAGTCTCGTTCCCGTCCAGGGAGAAGTTTCACGACATAGAAATGATCCATTACAGATGAAGAGATCGGTCACTCGCTCGCATTGCCAAAGAGGAAAGTTCCGAATTATATAAAATATGGAAATTGAGGAGAAAACTTACCAGCACCAAGGTCTATTGGCTCAGTCTTTATTTGCACCCCGGCTAGAGAAACGGAAGAGACGAAATTGTAACGCGTGACTTATAAGCATTAACCAAATTCAAAAGCTGATGAATACTCAGAAGACGCTGGCAATTTTGTAATTCCATGATCCTGCAGTACCCCTAATTTTACATCTAAAAAAATTTATACTTTTTTTACCACTTACGTCATAGAAAATAATATGTGGGGTTTATTCAACTGCGACCCACTGTCCTTCATTTCCTTTGAAAACTGTTGAACACTTTTTACAAAAAAACGAGCTTTTATTCAAATGACACGCAGTTACGGACCAATCTGATTTCCACGAGAAACTGATCTAAAACCCTCCCACCCACTGTCCTTCATTTCCTTTGAAAACCGTTGAACGCTTTTTAGAAAAAAACATGAGCTTTTACTCAAATGACACGCAGGTACGGACCAACCTGGTTTCCACGAGAAACTGATCTAAAACCACGAATGAATCGCTCGTTTGTGATAAATTTTAACCGAGTATGCTGCAGAAACGGTCATCTCATGTTTTCGTTGGAACTATGATCAGGAGAGTGTAAGGTTGCTGGGGAAACTATTCGACACCCCACGACCGGGGTTGCCATTCATGAAGTCGTGAGATGGTTGCAGTCCTCATCTTTCCCTTTAAATTACCGTAATTTTTCGTTTGAAATTATGGACGAAATTTGGTTGAGTTGAGACACGCTTTTAAAATACTTATAGAAGTTACTGGAACACGTAACAATGTGCTTGAAGTCATGTATTGCGCACATGGTTCAAACTTGGGCGAGGTGGTCCAAGCGGTTAGAGCGCGAATCTACTGACTAAAAAGGTTCGTGGTTCGAGCCCGACCTATGCTTCTCGACCTCTCCTGTGTAGGTTTGGGCGACCTAGCAGTATCCCAGCCCTCGTGCTTCCTTCTGGTGGCATGGCAGTTGAGCACCGATGGGGTTCAACAGCTGGATTGAAGTATATAAACAATCCTTAATGTGGGAGGTTGTCCACTTTTAACTTGAGACGGCCTTTCAATAAAGTTCCAGACTGTAAAACACTGGATTAATCGCTATCAGTGGACCGCACCTTGTGACACCCTTTTGTTGAAGTCTCTTCCAGGGAGAATTCAAGGATTGCTAATTGTTTGAGAAAGGCCAAACAACTCAAGCTTTTACGTGTTCCCGAATGTACATACCGTCTGAAATGCACTTCAAGATACGTTTATAGATTCTTACTGGCTGTCTATATTACTATCACTATGGAGATCACCTACTGCAGATTTTATCTGCGATTACAAGTTTGTCTTTAATCAAGCCCAAGGCTCAAAGTCGTGTCAGTTAGTNCCAAGGCTCGAAGTCGTGTCAGTTAGTGACTCAGAGCGGCCTGAGAACAAAGAGATGGGTGTCTGTAAACAGATTTATCCATCTCTAGTGATCCGGGCGGTAGTTGTCCGGAAAAAGCTTGTTTGAGTGGAAACAGTCATTTGGACTGTTTCAGAGTCAAGCAAATCAAACAAAAATCGCTGAAAATTGCTTACGCATTTGAGCACCGGGTGGTTGGAGTCCTGAAATTTTGGGAATGACAATGGATGCTAAACGTTACGACTTTCGTAAAATCCAAAAACCTGAAAAATAGTTTCAAGTTAATTTGAAAAAATTCAAACTTTTAATCTGCTCCAGTAATACCCTAACAACTGGGAAGCCGATAACATCTCTGGAAAGCCAAATACTATCGAAAATCATCAATCTGTTTCAAACGGAACGCAAAAAGCTCTTTATAAGGCAACCGCATTTGAGGGCGACCAATACGTTCAGTCGTCAATCTGTCTTGTGTTCCGTTAGCATCACGTTCACTTGCACACGGATCTACAGATTCACTTATGTACACTTTAATAATCGTTCAGATGTAGCACCTTTTAGGTGCCAAACTGCCATGGAACCGGAGGAAATCACGAGGGCTGTGATACTGCCAAGTTGCCCAAGCTTAGACAGGAGAATTCGAGAAAGGTGGAGGTCGGTTTCGAACCACGGAACTTCCGGTCAGTAGATTCGAGCCCCCCCCCCCCCAGATGCACTTTGGTGTTCAAATAGGAGGTTGAACTGACGAAAACTCCTTGAGCAGGTCTACCTGGCAAGCCTCAAATCAAACCAAGAATCAAATCGCCAGTTGACTGTCAAAGTGTTTATAAGTGATTTGTGACTGATCAGATGACCTTGCCGGTGCGCAGTTGATTGGCCGATTCAATGTTCTATTGTTTGAATTTTACCGAAAGGCATTGCTTAAAGACCGAAGCGTTAGCTACAAAAGTGCTTATTCAAACGACCACGGACAAAGGTGCATGCGGACTTTGTCCAAACAGAAGTGAACTTACAACGGGGGTTAATATCAACGAGAAGAAAACCCTTATAAAGTTTTTCAAAGGAACCGGATACCCGAGAAAATTAACTTGGCAAACCGTGAGAAAAAATAGGTTTGTCAGTAGAAGGATCGAGAGAAGACGAATAATATCCTTATACATAAAAGAATGACTGGAAGACTAGTATGGCAGGATAATACGACATTTGCCCACAAACTGAAGAACACTGTCCAAACCTAAATGAAATGTTGAAGTAGCGACGTGGATCAAACTCGTGAAGCAGATGATATGCAAAGTTGCATCAGAGAATGCCCTGGACAGGCAGAAATTAGGCTTTTACTAGGCAACATAAGCATTGTAAAAAGTCAATCACTTTTCATTTACATCCGCTCAAAAAAATCAATATGGGGGGAAATAAAGCGGGAGCAAAGAAGGACCTGAATTCCACTCTAACAGCCATCAACAACCATACTGAAATGAACTCGAACACAAGCCTCGAACTGCACCGGAAGTCAGCAGAACGCGCATAGTTTGAGCAGACAGAACGACCAAGCTTACTGGAATACTTATTTGATGAAAAATCAAAGAACAAAACTGAACAAAGTATAGATAATCCCCCAAAAATAAAAAGACACCTAAATAACTGATCAAGCACGAGGAACTCTCCAAATATTTGAACACCAAACACGAAAGCGCAACCAGCCAAGTAAGCTCAAGAAAATCCTAAAATCATAGCGCAATGCAAGAAACCCGAGAACGGGCTGATTAATTATACCGTTTCAATAACCAATCAGGTGAATGGATTGCAGACCACAACGCAGAATAAATCGAAAACCGATCGGCCAAAACAAGAAAAAGCTACACATGGAGTACGGGCCAAATGCAATGAATTCCGAAATGAACCAACTGTTTCGTTTGTTTCAGCAGATAGCAGTTAGCTTCGCATTACTATATGAACTAGGCAAGGGAGAGCAACCCGCCCAACTGTGCAGTGATGTCAGCCCAAGTTACGTTTGCCAGCTATCGGCAGAGCTTGGCGGACAGATCAACAGTTACCTGATCCACAAATAACGAATACATCCGTTCCACTGATGTTGTACTTGCGGAGTGCAACAGTTTTTGTAACAATCCGTATTCTTCACCTCGTCAAAAAAGATGCGACGCAGAGATTATGCATCCCAGGTGCTAAAATAGACTTTCAAAAACGTCTAACTGCCTTAGTTATTTATTTTGTTGTATTGTAAAATGTTGACCGGGAAAATAGCTTTTTAACGTCGATGGTTGAGCATTGTGTCATTTCTAGAGAAAAACAATGGAAAAAATTCGTGGATTTAATAGAAGAAATAAAAAGTTTTGTCTACATGGTCTATTGATATGGGTCCATTCTCCCAATAAATGGCTAGCGTCGAATCGTGGATGACGAAATCCATCTTCTATGTTGTAATTTTTTGCTGTGCATAGGACTCCGATCAACTCTAGAGAGTAAAACAAGCCGCGATCACAAGAAACGGGGAAACATGGTTGAGCCAGTCAGCGCGATAAATGAAACAGTGATCATCAATGCCCACGCAACCTATGTGAAATGGGGAGTGTGAATGACAGAGAGCATAGATTATTTTGAAGTAGGACGCCACACTGACCATATCCAGAGGGCATGTATCCTGAAAAAGATTGAAAAAAGGGATAGATAGGATTTAGACTCTGAAGTGTGATGAAATGATCGGTTTATACAAACAGGACACTTTGTCAGCCTTCTTTAATATTTGTTTCAGCGATGCTGTTCAGATAATGATTGATGAATGACACTTTACTGTTTAGATCATTTCAACTCAACGTTTTTCTTCACAGATCAACGAAATGTTTGTTACCTTGTGAACCGAACATGCCAGGCCCATATCCTGTGAAATGTAGAAAAACAAACCCATTTTTACTCGAAAGCACACCAGACTTGTCGGTACGTAGTTGTGATGCAACCAGTGATAAGGTCTTTAAAATTTCACCAGACTGACAGTCTTTCCAGAACGTCTGAGTCGAAAAAAACTCGAATAGCCGTATATAGGAGGACTGGTTCATCTGGCAGCATATAACCTGAGACTTCAATACCGGGTTACGGGAGTGGATAAGTTATCATCCTCTCCAGTAAGGTCGGTTTGTGGTTGACTAGTCAGAGGTGCACCTTGAAAACTAAATTGCCAGATTTGGACGTCATGTAAGACCTCATGTGTTAATACTTTGTATCACCTCGTACATCGGCATTCTATCTCGAGTTTCGAGTTCCTGAGCTGTATGGGTTATATGTTTGTATGTAAATATGTATATAAGGCAAGATGGCCCAAGTGGTTAGAGCGCGAATTTACTGACCGGAAAGTCCGTGGTTCGAACCCGACCTCTGCCTCTCGGCTTCCCCTGTCTAGGCTTGGGAAACCTAGCAGTATCCCATCGTTCGTGCTTCCTTGTGGTGGCATGGCAGTTCGCTCCGAAATGGTGCTTCAGCTGAACGGCTATTTTGGGCTCTGTGTCCTCTTCTTCTAGTGATGGATTCTTCTTGGAAGTAGCTTCGCGTACTCACCATGTTTGCTCGTCATATATTGTTAGTATGTTTAGTAATACGATGACGCACAACACTCGGGATCCGCATCATCATTCGACTGGACTTTTGAGCGGAAAGTTACATAAGTTAGTGAGATCAACTTTTCGTCTGACTATTGCATGCTTGCACTCTGATTTGCATGAAAACCGAACAGCCAATAATAATTCAGTTTTGTTTTGTCTTGTGTCGGTTTGTGCTGCGACGTCTGTATTACCATGAGGTCTTCATTTGTTGGTACATGAAATCTGAAAACGGTATTCGCGAAAAACCTTTCGATGTAAGACTGGAGCATTTGTTTACATCTGTTTCTACAAATATCTGATGTTTGGAACCATATCACTGAAATAAAATTTGCTAGGTTTGGGGTGATTCTCAGCTTTTTTTCTTTGTCATGATATGGCCGGTTGTTAGCCTTCCAGATGGTGCGTGTTTGTAACATTTCTCTCTAGTTTGTGATATCAAAATCAACGTTTTTTCAAGATAGGTAATTTTCCAGACTTCGCCACCATATCGCCCTCCAATGTTGTGGGGAAAACACGCTTCAATTTCCGTGAATTTTTCAGGTACCCCAGTTGTTCTTCAGACGGCTATTGATTCGTTCACTGAGCTTGGCAATCAACTAGCAAAATGTACGAACAGACAATGTCAGTGTGGAGTTGGGTGGTTTATCCTCTTCAAATTGTGAGAATTGCCATATCAGGAACCAAGCCCCCCTGCTGTCTTACACAGGTTTCGGAACACATTTCAGGAGCTTAGTAATTCATTTGGGTATTGACCACCATCACATGCCAAAAAATCCTTAGAGGATTTTAATCTACTCTGTCCATGAGTTCCAAAGTCGATTATGAGCCACACCATTCCGAATTGTTCAAATGAGGTGGCCTTCAGTGAGCTTAGAAATCATCGTAATTCACTTACAATGTACATGGAAGGATTTAACTACCTGCTGTCTTTCAGAGGCATTTGTCATGAAGCATACATGCTGCGATACTAGTGAAAAACCGCACACTACTCATATCTTTCAAGTAGCTTAATGGGTACATTATGTTCTCTCGATTTATCTGCGGTAAACCGGGAAGCGAAAACCTGCTAGGTCAAGTCGCAGAATTTTCGCTTGTGTTTCCCACACATTAAATATTCGCTTCAGTTTTTTTGAGATTCATCTCGAAATGATCAGGTCAATATATGTCGGCTGGTGTTCATGAATCTTTCCGGCACCTTTTACAGTGTCACTGATTTGAAAAGAACATCAGAGACGAACGTGAATTGGGACATTCCGTGGAAACCTTCACTTGGTTTTTCACTAGTGTGACGATGTCATATTTTACTTCATATAAGAGACAACGCTTACCTGACTGTGGTTGATAGTCTGAAAACGATTTGGAAAAATTTGTGAATTTTTAAGTGTCAGTAGGGTACGGTTCTGAGTGGTTCTGACAGTTGCTGTGTTTTGTTGTAAACAGACAAAATCTCAGCATAGCACCAGCGGTATAAACTGAATTGATTCAAGGCAGTGGGGTAATTGCCCATGCGTTCTGTCAGGATGCTCCCAGACATGGAAAAAGTATATGTGCAGAGAGTGACGCATCCCCGAGGTCACCTTTGCTACGACACTTTTCGGAAAGCGTTGGCGGAGGTCATCAAACACGGCTTAGCAACAGAAGATCAATGGAGTGGGGCTGAAACT